AACCCTGGCGCCATTGAAAGGCCGTTTCCATCGTTTATTTATTTACTGATCACAACGCGAGGCCCTTCCCACAGGCGACCTCCGGCGCTCGCAGCCTCTGAGCGGCCAACGTATGACCGGGGTGAGAGGCGGGCTCGGGAGGCGAAGGGGCGTGACGGGGGCGTGGCCAACCCGCCCGAGGGTATAAAAATGGGGTGGACACCAACCCTCCCCTCAGTCAAGATGGCGGCGCTGAGGGCGGCGGGGACAGCGCTTCTGCGGCCCCGGTCCGGGCCGGCCCCGGCCGCGCTGGGCTACCACAAGAAGGTGAGGGGCGAGGGGGACATGGGGAGGGACGGGAGGAATGCGGGGTGACCCTCGCTGACGCTGTCTTGGCAGGTAGTGGATCACTACGAGAACCCGCGCAACGTCGGCTCCCTTGACCGCAACGACAAGAACGTGGGCACCGGCCTGGTGGGCGCCCCGGCCTGTGGCGATGTCATGAAGCTGCAGGTGACCTTGGGGGCCCTCTGACACCTGGGTTGGCTTTACATGGGGCTGTTGCGAGGGTCAAACTCGCCTGTGTCCCCCGGGCCTCCGTTGTGCCCGCTGTGCCCGGGGCAGGGCCAGTCCCGCTCCCCGGGGGCCCGGCTGCGGGGACCTGGCTGAGCTGAACCGGGCGCTGAGGTGTCCCCAAAATGCTCCCGCAGGTGCAAGTGGACGAGAACGGCAAGATCGTGGACGCCCGCTTCAAAACCTTCGGCTGCGGCTCGGCCATCGCCTCCAGCTCGTTGGCCACGGAGTGGGTCAAAGGGAAAACGGTGAGGGAGCTCCGGGAAAGCTGCAGAGCTTCCCACGTGCCTGCGTTCTCTGTTGGGATCATGTAGGAAGTGCTCTCCAGGGAGTCCCTGCACCACTTTGTGCTGTAGAAGCGACTCTCAGGGTTGCAGCTGTAGGGCAGCAATTGTATTTTTCATTAGGGAATCATTCATATCAAAAGCCCTCTAAGAACATTGAGTCCAGCTGTCCCCCCAGCACTGGCAGCTCCACCATGTCCCCAAGTGTTATATCCACACTTCAGGCAGTTTCACCAGGAAATTCCTTTGTGTCTTACGCAATGAGCAAAACCAGGCTGATGGCAGAAATATTACTTATAATCTTTAGATTGTTTCTGCCAGCAGTAAATGCACCTCAGTGTTGTGGTAGAGGATGAAGAGACTCGAAGCAGCCCAAGTGGGGACAGTCTGTGACACTGATATATCAGACATTCCTTAATTCTCACATCCCTCACTGCTCTAGGCAGCTGAGATGATCTCCCCTGTGGATTCTGCAGGCTCTGGAGCATTAAACCTTCTTAGCAAACACAAACAGCAGGGCCTGTGACCACCTCTGCCTGTGTTTCAGGTTGACGAAGCGCTGAAAATCAAGAACACAGATATTGCCAAGGAACTCTGCCTTCCACCTGTCAAACTGCACTGCTCCAGTAAGTGAAAACCCTGGATCTCAGATACTCTGGGAACAGCACAGCTGCTTCTGGATGCTGTTTTCCAAAGAGTTTCTCCACAGCACTGTCCTTAAGAGAAAACTTGTTCCAATTTCAGAGTTAATTTTCAGATCACTTCAATGTTATATTGTTATTTAAAGTTACATTACATGAAATCAGCATTATAGGAATTCAGTATTTTAGGAATTCCATTCAGATTCTACTCCTAAGATCAGGCTGTGCTGCTGGTCTTGTTTGCTCACTGCTGCCTGCTTTTGTTTTTACCTCATCTTTTATCCTAAAAGGCCTTGAATTGCCCTTAAAACCCTTTTTTTTTTGCTTTGCAGTGCTGGCTGAAGACGCCATCAAGGCTGCCTTGGCTGATTACAAACTGAAGCAGGATCAAAACAAAGAATCCGACAAAGAAGCCGACAATGCCTGAACTGCCTGCACAGCTTCCCCTCCTCCCTCCTCACTCTGCAGCGCAATTCCCGGGCTGTAGTAGGACCCTGTGCACTACTCAAGCTGTAAGATACGCACAAGTTACGCACAACGTGTCCCTGTGGTGTCCAGCCACTCCGTAGTGCTCACGTGGATGGGGGCTCCCATCCCCTCGGGAATGCCGCGGGAAGACTCCGCTCCGGAGGCAAAACCCCGCTGTCTGGTACTAGAAGGGCTGCACTTTCATTTTTCTTTTTCTTTTTTTTTGAGAAGATGTCTAGTTTTGCCTAATATTTTATGGAATTTAGTGGGAAATGTTGCCCTGGTTTGGATGTGTGTTTGAGAGCTGTGGGGCCGCCCCTGGCTCCGGCTGCATCAGGGTTGGTGTCGCAACCCAGGGGCAAATTCCTGCTCTTGGAATTCTGGGACCCTTTGCAGGTGCCAAAGGGAAAAGTGGCCAGGAAACATTGGTGGTTTCTGCTCCCATCCTGTCGCTGCTCAATTTTTGAAGCTTGTGTTTGAGGAAATTTTGGGGTGTTTTCGCTAAGAATTTCACTTTTTCACTCACCAGGTGCTCTCTTACATCTGTAAATCCTGGGCTAGAGGAAGGCATCCCTGCCCAAGGAAGGGGTTGGCAAGTGGATGGGCTTTAACATCCAACCCAAATCACTCCAGGATTCACTAAAATAAGCCCTCAGACTGGAACCCTGGTGGGGGAGTAGCAGAGCTGAGGGGGAGCTCCCACAGTTCCTCTTTTCCGGGGGAGTATTTCCAAACCAAGCAGACAACACATTGGCAAACCTCACCTTTTCACCTTCTAACCCCTCACAAGACACCTCACGTCCCGTTTTTTGTACTGAGGGTGTTGTTAAAAATTTAAAACCACATTTAAAAAAACAATTGTCTTATTCTGCTCCATCTGAGCACAGTATTTGTAATTTTTAACACACAGGTAACACATTCCTGCAAGTTTGTCACTCACAAGGTCCCTCTTGTGGTTCCTGAGCTCCTGGCACCCTCCAGCAGCGAGGAGCGTGCCTTTCCCTCAGGGAACAATCCTGCTATCCCCCAGTTTAAAAAAAGAATCTGGGAAACTTCACACGCTCACATCTGCTCTGGGGCAGAATCAGCTCTTTGTGGTGGCACACTCTTCCCAGGGAAGGTTGTCCTGAGGCAGGGACATAATGGGATAAAACACAGGGACCCAGGAGGCTGCAGGGGTGTGCTGCTTTTGGGGCAGAGCAGCCTCTCACCTTGCAGGTTTCCCTGCTGTCCCCACTGCAGCAGCTGCACCCCAGTGCTGTGGCCGAGTCCCCCCCACAGCCCCCCCTCAGCCCTACAGCTGTGGGTGCAAGATAAAGGTTTCCTGGAAGGGCACGTGATGTGCTGATGTGGGGTCTGATAACTCCCTGCCCCTGGAGGAGCACAGGGACATGGGGACTGTCCCCTGGCCACCCCCCGGCTGCAGAGACACACGGGAGAGGAGCTGTGCGGAGGAAACGTTTATTTCTAGCTGAAGGGGTTCAGGAAGTGAGGCAAAAATCCAGCTGGGCTCTGGGTGAAAGGAGGGACCTTGTCCCCTCATCCCTCTTTCCCTTGGGTGGCCATGGGCAAAGCTGACCCATGTCCTACAGACCTCCAGCCCCGCTCCCGTCCCTCGTCCCAGAGGGACACAGCTCCCAGCCAGGAGCCCGGCACGGACCAGGCTGCTGCTGATTTGGGAGGAAGCTGGTGGCACAGTGGGGACAGAGCTGGAGCTGGGGGGGATGCACCCACCCAGTTCCTGGGGTGGAAGAGACCCCTTGGGCAGCAGGAGCTGGGGCTGACAGCGTTCCAGTGCTGGGGAAAGCCACCAGCTGGCAAATCCCCCCCCATGAGCATCCCATCAGCACGAGGGTTGGGAGAGCTGGGCAGGAATGGGATCTTCATCGGGGCTTCCTCGAGCCACCACGTACGTACGGAACCTGATCCACCGTGTCCATCGTGTGTCCCAAGCCAGCAGCTCCTCGGGCTTGCCTGGGACTGTGTCCCTGCCTCAGATTCCAGAGGGAGCCTGGGAGCCATCCTGGGATGCATCTGGGGTCTCCTTGCTTCCTGCGCTCGCCGCCTCCTCCGCACCTGGATTTTGGGCAGGGAGCTTGGGTTGCTCATCCCCCAACTTCTTCCTTCCTTCCTCTTCCTCCTCCTTCTCCTGAGGGGAATTCTGCTCACCCCGGGCCTCGTTGGCCAGCGGTGCCTTGTGGGGGGATTTGAGGTTCTGGGCAGCAGCCAGGATGTCCGCCTGGAGCTGCCGGCTGCCGTCCAGCGGCTCCTCCGCGCCCGCCTCGGGGGCTTTCTCGGGCACCTCGCTGAACGCCCGCGCTCCCCCCGACTTGTCCCGCTCATCCACGTATTTCTTCTTGGGAAAGGAGGAGGGGTAGTAGGCAGAGGCCTTGTGCTTCTGCCGGACGATGACGGCGGCGCAGATGATGAAGAGGAGGACGAAGGACAGCGAGCCCACCACCACCACCAGCAGCAGATACTCCTTGAAGAAATCCAC